TTTGATTGTTTGTACACCAAGAACAAGCGGAACGAATCCGGAAAGGGAAAGATCAAGTTTCTTAGGGTTTTGAGCTTGTTTCGAGGTATGTGATGGTTGTGATTTTATGATGGCGTGATGTATGCTTGTTCTTGCTTCATTATGATACATGTATGTATGCGAATGTTGTGTTATTGATCACATTAATTGTAAATGAGGATATATGAATGATGATTGCCATGAATCATGACTTGATTGTATAATTATGATAATGTACTTTGCGATTGTGTTGTGGCTTGTTAAATGGATTGGTTGTTGCGTTTCGACACACTAACTTGGATCAGTTGCCATGTTCTGGCATAATTATGGGATCGATTGCCACGTTCCGGCATAATCATTGGATCGGGTACCATGTTCCGGTATGCTAACAGTTTGGGTTTGGGTTACATGATAGGACTAATGACTTGATATAGTTGTGATATTTGAGAATCGTGAAATTGTTCGTAGTTCATAAAATGATGATAATATTGTATATGTTCGGTGTATGCATGTTATTGTATTATTGTCTTGACTTATGTATGTTGCACTTAGTGGGATAACAGTGTGATCCTACTATTACACTGTGGTTGTGTACTGATACTGCACTTGCTCTTTCTTTGTTGAGTACATGGTATCTTCAGGCGGCTACTGACAGACCTCGCTTAGAAGATTAGTGATCGTCGTTCAAATTTAAGGGTGAGCCAGTTCTTCCAGGCTGCCGTTGTAACACCCCGTATCCGAAACAGACCAAAAATAATAAAAATAAATAAATAAATAAAAAAAATGCAGATTTTGAGAAGTTGCAGGTGCAACCCACGGTTGCCATCCACGGACCGTAGGTCAGACCACGGTCCGTGCTGGTGGTCCGTGGTTCGCCACTGCAACCCCTCCCCAGCCAGCTCAGAAAATTGGTTAAGTCTCGACTCACGGACAGATCCACGGTCCATAGATCAGACCACGGTCCGTGGTCTGTGTCCGTGGATCAAGACCTCCTTTACCCAGCCTCTGACATGAACTACGGTTGACCAGCACGGACCGTCGTTCGATCCACGGTCCGTAGGTCTGACCGTAGATCGAAGGTTAGCAGCCAGTTAGCTGAAAATTCTGATGGGTCAACTTCAGATGATCATAACTCTTAGCACAAAACGAATTATGTGTTGTATGACCTATGGTTAGATAGATAATTGAATTATCTTTCCAACGCCACCGAGTTTGCTAAATTCCGACCTTCGAGTAAAAAGTTATGCCCGTTTTAGTGAAGGCCTGTCGAACAGGCTTGACTTACGGACGCAATCTACGAACCGTAGATTGACCTACGGCCCGTAGGTCCAATCCGTAGATCACTCCGACAACAGTTAATTCAGGGGTCTTTTGGTCTTTTCCTATTTCGTTTAACCCCTAAGATACGTCGTTTAGACCCTAAATCATGAGATTTTAATTAGTTTAAGCTTAGAAACATAACTAGAACTTACCTAAGTCAAATCATTAATCAAACTTAGAAGAATTAGAACGCTAAAAGGAGAAAAGAAGTCAAGAACCCTAGTTCAAGAACGCAGCAAGGTTTCTTCTGTTCCAGCCCCAAAATCGAAATATTTCTCCGTGGAATTCGTCACCAGGTATGTGGGATTTCACTAGTGGGTTCCTTTCGCCCATTAGGTCCCTAAAATTCAGTCAGATTCTTGATTCCATGCTTATGAACAAATCTAGGGTTTCTAGAATTTTAACAGATCATCATGAATTAGTTATTTAAATGTTCCAAATCAGATTATCATGTTATTGCTCAGTTTATCGCATGAATTTCAGAACCCTAGCTATGTATTTCTTTAGTTCTTGAATTACACATGCTAGGTCAGATATTTCAGTATTCAGTTTTACATGCCTCAGTTTATGAATGCATCATTATCAGATTAATTGTTGCATTCTCAGTTTGCATGTTCAGTTTCGAGCTATCCAGTATTTACAGAAATTCAGTCATAACCAGTTAACCAGTTAATTCATTGGGAGTAGCATAATACCGAGTTGGACTAGGGTTTCAGCGTACCCATATAGTCCCAGAACTACGAGCCACGTAGGTGTAAGTCCCCTCTGTGGGCAACATCAGTTTAGTGATCACGCCAGCATGCCTTTATACCTCTGGCAGGGTATATTGGGTCCTCTCGATGGGGCGTATACATCGGACTCCACATTTAGCTCATGTGGTTTTATGTCGGTTATTAGTAGCTCCCACAGTTCAGTCAGACTCTATTGCATTGACCATATTTCAGTACAGTCAGTATTCAGTCTCAGCATGTTATAAACTTGGTCATTGCATTCAGTTAGCTCAATATTCAGTATTTCAGTATCTATATCATGTTCAGATTATATCATTGCTCAGTATGCTTTGTTCAGTTATATGTTATTTCAGCTTTACTCCATCCTGCATGCTCAGTACCCTTCAAGTACTGACGCATACGTGCGCTACATCTTCTCGTGATGTAGGTTCAGGTTCTCAGCATCCAGATCACGCTTAGATCGGTTCTCGATCTCCAGTTCAGCAGAAATCAGTGGTGAGTCCTCATTCTCCGAGGACAATAGTCATGAGTTTTTTTTCAGTATTTTAGTCCTTTAGTTTCAGTTTTGCTAGACTTAGCTGGGGCCTGTCCCAACATTTCTAGTCAGTTTAGAGGCTTATTTCAGACATAGTTAGATTCAGCTTAGTGTTTTTAGTTTGATATTTCTTTTGTATTAAACTCTCATATTTCATATATCTCAGTTATAGTATATGGGTATTCCCCATCCTTCAGTTTATTTATGATTTAGCTTCCGCACAGTTTATATTATTCAGATTATATTTAGTATGCTCATGGTCATGCCAGCAGGGTTAACTTGGGATCACTTGTGGTCCTAGGTCCCGTGTCCGCGTCTCGGGCGTAGCTCGGGGCGTGACATCCATGAGTTCTCTTTCCGTCTATGTCCACATTTCGGACTTAGACTTTCTAATTAGTAATTAGTCATTAGTTTAGTGTAGTATCCCTTCTTGTTTAGACTTGTTGAACTTTAGATGTTTTGGTACATTGACTTTCAGGTTCTAGGTGTTTTTCCGCATTGTTTAGTTGTTAGATCGTTTGGAAGTTTATGAGAACTTCAGTCTTTAGCTATTTAACTTACTTTCATAACTTAAATGCTTTAGTTTTTGGTTTAGTTGCTTGGACTGTAGGGTTAGTGTGTGTGCCAATCACGACGGTCTGGGTCGTGACAATTTTTCACAAATGCTCTTAAATCATATTTTCCGCTCATGTCTAGATGTATGCTCTCAATGTTTCATGTTATGTATGGATATGCTCGGGTCAACAATCGAATTAGGTGTCGATCCCGTCGAGAATGTAGGCTTGGGGCGTGACAGATTTTGTAAGAGGAAAGTCATAAGTTGAGTGATTTTATCGATACAAAACCAAATTTAATGACTTTGTTTAATAATTTTACATACTTGAGTTATAACCTTTTGAGATATTTACTTAGGGGTGTCAAATGGGCAAGTTGGGTTGAAATTGGAGATATTAAAATGGGTTGAGATAGAAATCGGGTTGGGTCTTGACCCGCCCAAATTTACTTTGGGCTCAAATGGGTTGGGTTCAAATGGGCTAAAAAATGGGTTGGGTCTTGACCCGCCCAATTTGACCCGATTAATCTCAATAATTTTAATATATTGATATTTAACTTTTATAATCACAATTCGAATTTCCGCTCAAGATTTTTTTTTTTAAAAAGTAACAAATGGATAGATAAATCCTAAAAGATGTTAAATAGATAATAATTCATATCTTTAATATAGGAACATATCTTAGTAAAGAATTTTAAAACGGGTTGAAATTGAAGATTGAATTGGGCTCAATTGAGGATTCTCTTAAAATGGGTTAAGCTTGAATGTGTTGAGATTGAACCCAACCCTTAAAATTCTGGACAGATTAGGCAAGTTATAACCTATGTTTGGGGTCATTTTTGACCACCCTATATTTACTCATCACAATTACAAAAATTTAGACATTTTGAGTTCAACGTATTATAATTTATGCAGTGTCATGGACCACAATTACAAGTCGTCAATATTATTATACCTTCTCATTTTATACCCGTGGAGATATATGTACAATATATTATATATGTAGAAATTTATCTTGATATTTTCGTATTAACATCTTTATCCATATTTATCATCTAAAGGTCAAAGTGGATTTGGTAAATGATATTTTTGGGATAATAGACATATAGGAAGTTTGACACAAAACCCCATCAATTTTCATAAATATAGAAAAATTATAATTTCTTATTAAGGTATAGTTTGACATTTAAAAAATCAAGTCGGACAAACGTGTACGTTAATGACTAGAATATTTGTTTAAACTTTATGTTCCAATAATGCAGAGGAAATGTTAAGTTTTCTACACAAATTTCTTTATAATACATTGATAATATCCATTATAGTAGATAATCTTATCTATTCGACTATACAATTATATGAAAGTAGGCTATTATAATCAAATCTAGAAGATATGTAAAATTCAAAATAGGAGAATTTTTTTTCTCTAATTAGTTTTATCGATCGTTATCAATGATATATAAATAATTATACGCATGTTATGACCATAAGATAAAAAGAAAAACAAATAACCCACGTTAGGCATGAGGAAGATCTTTTATATGAATAAACATCACAATTGACTAATCCTTTTGGTGCTTGGAAGTTTCATTTGTATTTGTCTCCAATAAATTAGAGGTATTAGGATTTGAAACTAATCATGCTTCTTTAATTTCCCCCTAGCTAAAACTATAAGTAGAAGTTGTTAGTTTCTATTTTCTCCATTATCAAACTTTGCAACAACAAATAATCAATTATGACTAGTTTCAACAAGTTAATAATCCTTCTCTTTCTCTTAATTTGCCTTTCATCATCATGGGCCAACAAAACTCATGATGACTTTCTTGAATGTCTTACTCACAAAATTATGAACTCAAACTCAATATCACAAGTCATCCACACTCCTAAAAACTCATCATATTCCACCATTTTGAACTCCTTTTCAGATAACCTAAGGAGAACCTCCGACTTCAAACCATCAATTATTTTCACTCCTACCAACGAATCTCAAATCCAGGCAGCTATACATTGCTCCAAGATACATAACCTACAAATCAGAATTCGAAGTGGTGGACATGACCATGAGGGTCTTAAACACATTTCGGAGACACCCTTTTTCATAATTGATCTTAGGAACCTAAGATCAATATCCATTGATACCCAAAAAAAGACTGTTTGGATTTAAGCTGGCGCGACCCTAGGGGAAGTTTACTATAGAATCGCTCAAAAAAGTAAAAATTTGGCCGTAGTTGCTGGGGTTTGCCCAACAGTTGGTGTTGGTGGACACTTTAGTGGTGGAGGGTATGGCATGATGTCACGAAAGTTCGGTACTGCTGCTGATAACATCATTGATGCAAAATTGATCGATGCTAATGGACGAATCAAGGATCGAGAATCAATGGGTGAGGATCACTTTTGGGCTATTAGAGGAGGTGGAGGGACTAGTTTTGGTCTCATTATCTCATGGAAGGTGAAATTAGTCGACATTCCTGAAAAGGTGACCGTGTTCAATGTGACACGAAGGTTGGAACAAAATGTAACTCAATTAGTCTACAAATGGCAACATATCGCGGACAAAGTTGATGACAATCTCCTCCTTAGGATCTTCCTGAGGAGCAACATTCAATCTCCATTCAGGCGTGGACAAAGGACTGTCCACGCCTTTTTCACTACAATGTTTGTTGGAGGAGTAGATGAACTCCTCCACAAAATGCAAAAGAGCTTCCCAAAACTAGGGTTAGTGAAAGAAGATTGCATTGAGATGAGTTGGATCGAATCTATACTCTTCTTTGCGGGTTTCCCTAGGGGCACATCACTTGATGTGTTACAAGATTGGAATAGCACAACTAATCAAGAGTACTATTTCAAAGGGAAATCAGACTATGTCCAACACCCAATTTCTATAAATGGTCTTGAAGGTATATGGAAACTATACAATCAATTAGGCGAAAATTCGGGTGTTGAATTACAGTTTAGTCCTTATGGAGGAAAGTTGAGTGAAATCTCAGAATCTGAAACTCCTTTCCCTCATAGAGCTGGAAATATATTCATGATCGAGTATGCAGTATTTTGGGTGAAAATGGAAAATTCTAAGAGAAACATAGCTTGGAATCGAAAACTTTATCGATACATGGCTAAGTATGTGTCAAAATCTCCAAGAGTTGCTTATTTCAACTATAGAGATCTTGATTTAGGAGTGAACAATATTATTGGAAACACAAGCTATGAACAAGCAAGAATTTGGGGAGTGAAATATTTCAAGAACAACTTTGATAGATTGGTGAAAGTGAAGACAAAAATTGATCCAACAAATTTCTTTAGAAATGAACAAAGTATTCCCCCTCTATTATCTTAAGCTTAGTGGTAATTAATTTATGCACTATACAAATCAAAGCCATCTCCGGTACTTGTCTACAAATAAGGCTTTTTAGATATTTCTTTTACGTGTATATGTACTACTATAGTACTGAAAAATAAATGTTGCCACGATGCGTTCCAAAGATTATGTAAAAATATTGTGTACGAATGAAACAACTTTTTTTTTTTTGTTTCTAAAAATGCTCCTTTTAACCATTGATACAAATCATGTAGAGTGATTTTATAAGAGAAGAGTCATATGTTTAAATGATTTTATTGATACACACTAAATTCAGTGACTTTACTAAATAATTTGGGTTACTTATAAATATGTACAAGTAACAAAAATTATATATTTTATAATGGTTGTATATGTAATGTATCAACATGCATGTATGTATGGTTACGTACCTTTTTGAAACATAAATATTGTGTTAGAGCTCACTGTACTACTAAAAAGTGGGCTTCTGGTAATTGATCACATTTGTGGAAGATGATGACTCAAGTAAGGAGCAGCGCGGAAAAGCACATGATTATATTTGGCAAATTAATTCAGGATGGAGTGAGTAGCTTCTGGTGGGATAATTGGAGTGGAAAAGGTCCTCTTGCAAGTTACTATATATCCTGATGAAAGATAAAGTGTTAGCACCTTGGTTAACAACTTCATTTCTGATGGTCCTTGGAATGTTAATAAGCTAAGCAATTTATTGTCCAATGAAATGATGCAACACATGCATATTGACCATTACCATTGGCAACCAAGATCAAGTTTTTTGGGATCTTACCACCAAGGCACAATCAGACACCTGATCAATCAATGGTGGACTCAAAATACCACTAATGTTGTCCACAAAAACCTAAGAGTCTCAAACCATTCCCTATGAGAACTATTGTTTGCAGCTGGAGAACTTTCCAAATTTGGGTCTATTGAAGCTTAACACTGATGGGAGTTTCACTTCTCCTACTGTTAAAGCTGGTATATATAAGAGGGGTGTTAAGAGACGACAAAGGTGAATTTGTGATGGCCTTCTCTTCACCTATACAATGTGACAGTAATTTGGAAGCGGAGGCATTATTGGCAGCTAAATATGGTTTGAGCAGATGTACAATTTTGAATTATAGAGACTTTACCCTTGAAGTGGATTCATTATCTCTTGTCCAAATGATCAACGAGAACAAATGCTATAATTATAAACTATTAAGGATCATTGAAGAGGTTCAACATCTGAAGAAACTTGCTAATGTCAAGGTAGAACACTATTTCAGGGAGGTCAATACGGTTGCAAACCATCTTGCTAAATTAGCCGCGAGCAATCAGAATGAGGCCTATTATGACACCTATCAACAACTTCTGATGGGGTCTAGGGGGCATTCCAACTTGACAAGAACCAAATGCCTTCTATAAGGCTCAAATATGACAAGGCAATTTTTTTTGTTAGTTAGCCAGATATATGGTTCTTTTTGTGAGGGTTGGACGGTCTAAGATAGCTTCATCTGTCCTTTTTTTGAAGGATAACTTTGTATCCTTGTGTTATGTTCGGAGGTATGGCCAAGCCCCCCTCTTGTATGCATATTCCGATATATAACACCCTAGACATGGGGATTTTTTTTTTTTAAAATTGAATAAATAATGTATAATCGTGTATAGATGATTTAAAATTATGTGTTAGAGATGTATATACATTTATATACATTGTTGATACAATAAAGTATACATTGCAATTTTTTTTTTTTATATATATAATCCCAACGAACTCAAATCTCCTCTAGATAGTCTCAAAATTTATATATAAACTCCTCTCAATGTTTAAAGTCTTTTAATATATTATTCATCCGAAATAACTCATATTTGCGGCACATCAAATTTTAAAATTAATGTCTGAGTACGGAAGAATAAGAGGATGAAGAAGGAAAGCAACGAAAAAAGTAAGAAGAAGAAGAAGAGGCTTGTAGCTTGCTTCTGTCCTTAGTCAATTTTGGACTGAAGCTGTTCTGACTATCGTATCTTTTTTTAACCGAATACCTTCCTTTGTAATTTTAGGTCTCTCTCTTTTTGAGAGAAGATTTTCTAGAATGGAAGCTTCTCCTTTACTTTTTTAGAGCGTATCACTATTTTGAAATGAAAAAAAGATTTATGGATGAAGTAATTTTTGGTGTTAAAGGGAGAACTGCAAGGAGCCAACCCTAATACGAGAGGACTGGGTTGGGCTAACCTATGATGTACCGGTTGTTATACCAATAGCAGAAGCAGTAACAACAAGAGGAACTTTTGCAAATAGCCACTATAATAAACTCAATTATGCTCCATAGTTATAGTTTGCATATTTATGGGTTGTAGCTACAATTTAAGCTATCTCATTTGTATAATTCGCGGATTTGTATAAATTCGTAGGTTTGTATAATTCGCGGGTACATTTGTATATTTCAATTTTGTATAAATTCGAAATAACGAATTTATACAATTACAAACATCAGAAGTGTAGACAGTTATACAAATTACGAATTATACAAAAGTTATACAAATTATATTATACAAAATCTGAATTATACAAACGTGTGAATTATACAAAACTAAAATGTTGAGCTGCGTAAATATAGCTAAAAGTAGACCGCAAATTGTAAATAAGGCAAACTATAGTTATGTTAAATAATTAACTATTATATGTTTGCTTATATGCATAATTTTCCCTAGCAACAACAATCACAATTAGTGTCTTGAGTATTGAAGAAGAAAAGTGAAGTAGAAGGAAGAAGAAGAAGTTAGGTAATCTTGATCCAATAGACATTTTGTTTAGTTTTCCGAAATAATTTCATATACTTAAGTAAGCTTTCGATATATTTACTAATCACAATTACTTCAAAGGATGAGAGTAGGCCTTTTGTAATTTGCGCAGTTTCTTGGACCACAATTACAAGTCTTCAATATTACTATATGTTCTCATTTTATATCCAAGTGGCATAGCTATATTGTCCTAGCGATGGTTACTCAAACACCTTTTGTCAAAAAATTAAATTGTGCATATAAAAAATAATACTTATTTATAAATCAAAATCAAAATCAACTTTTTAGAAATATATGCTAAAGTTTTAAATATCCTTAGTAAAATTTCTAATTTTACCGTCATTTTATTTCCGCGGATATATAGAAATTTATCATAATATTTTTCCATCCGATAGCGTCTAAGAAAATTATTAGCATCTTTATCCATATGTATCATCTAAAGGTCAAAGTGGATTTGGTCAATGATAATTTTTGGACAATATACATATAGGAAGTTTGACACAAAACCCCGTCAATTTTCATAAATTTAAGAAATTACAATTTCTTATTAAGGTCTAGTTTGACCTATAATGCTCCCAACATAATTTTCTCCAAACTCAAGTTTCGAACCCGAGACCTTCAAATAAGGATGGCACAGTCCCATCACTGCACCACAACTCATGATGGTAACGTTTAATGACTAGAGTATTTGTTTAATCTTTATGTTCCAATAATGCAGAGGAAATGTTGAAGTTTTCTACACAAATTTCTTTATTTAAGGCGACATATATATTATATATAATATATTGATAATCAATTCTAGAAGATAAGATATGTAAGATTTAAAAATTGGAGAAAGATTTTCTCTAATTTGTTTTATTGATCGTTATCAATGATATGAATAATTATACCAATAATGCTAAGTACGAACAAAATATAAAAATAATAAATTTTCTATATATTAAATGTTCTTCATATTAGAATTCGTGACTTGTACATCAGTATGATTTAATAATACTTAACGCAACACTCAAGGAGTCAAGGAGAGTTTACTTTACTTTTTTTAAACTAATACTCAATATTCTATACCACGTGGCCTTAGCCTTTGTAACTAATTAAGCTTCTTTAATCCATCACCCCCCACCCCCCCCAAAAAAAAAAACTAATACTATAAATCGAAGTTGTTAGTTTCCATTTTCTCCACATCAAAATTTGCAACAACAAATAATCAAGTATGACTAAGTTAACAATCTTTCTCGTACTCTCAATTTGCTTTACATCATCCTATTCACGGGCCTACAAAACTCATATTGATGACTTTCTTGAATGTCTTTCTCACAAAATTATGAACTCAAACTCATCACAAGTCATCCACACTCCTAAAAACTCATCATATTCCACCATTTATAACTCCTTTTCAGATCGTAACCTAAGGATAACTTCCAACTTCAAACCATCAATTATTTTCACTCCTATAAAGGAATCTCTCAAATCCAGGTAGCTATACATTGCTCCAAGTTACATGACCTACAAATTAGAATTCGAAGCGGTGGACATGACTATGAGGGACTTTCATATATTTCCGAGACCCCATTTGTCCTAATTGATCTTAGAAACCTAAGATTAATCTTCATTGACACTGAAAACAAGACTGCTTGGATTCAAGCTGGCGCGACCCTAGGGGAAGTTTACTATAGAATCGCAGAAAAAAGTAATAAATTGGCCTTTGTTGCTGGGGCTTGCCCTACTGTTGGTGTTGGTGGACACTTAAGTGGTGGAGGCTTTAGCATGATGTCACGAAAATTTGGTACTGCTGCTGATAACATCATTGATGCAAAATTAATCGATGCTAATGGACAAATTCAGGATCGAGAATCAATGGGTGAGGATCACTTTTGGGCTATTAGAGGAGGTGGAGGGACTAGCTTTGGTCTTATTATATCATGGAAGGTGAAATTACTCGATATTCCTGAAAAGGTGACCGTGTTCAATGTGCCACGAACGTTATATCAAAATGCAACTCAACTTGTTTACAAATGGCAACATATCACAAACAAAGTTGATGACAATCTCCTCCTCAGGATCTTCCTGAGAAATAGTGAATTTCCATTCGGGGGTGAGCAAAGGGCTATCTACGCCTCTTTCACTACAATGTTCGTTGGAGGAGTTGATGACCTCCTCCACGAAATGGAAGATAGGTTCCCGGAACTAGGGTTAGTGAAGGAAGATTGCATTGAGATGACTTGGATCAAATCGATACTCTTCTTTGCCGGTTTCCCTAGGGGCACATCACTTGATGTGTTGCTAAATTGGAATACCACAATTAATCAAAGAGGATACTTCAAAGGGAAATTAGATTATGTCCAACAACCAATTTCTGTAAATGGTCTTGAAGGTATGTGGAAACTACTCAACCAATTAGCAGTCGAAAACTCGGGGGCTGAATTAGAATTTAGTCCCTATGGAGGAAAGTTGAGTGACATCTCAGAATCTGAAATTCCTTTCCCTCATAGAGCTGGAAATATATTCATGATCGATTATGCGGTGTATTGGGGAAACTTTGAAGATTCTCAAAGAAATATAGCTTGGTGTCGAAAACTTTATGGATACATGGCTAAGTATGTCTCAAAATCTCCTAGAGCAACTTATTTCAATTTTAGAGATCTTGATTTAGGAGTGAACAATATTAATGGAAACACAAGCTATGAACAAGCAAAAATTTGGGGGGAGAAATACTTCAAGAACAACTTTGATAGATTAGTACAAGTGAAGACTAAGTTTGATCCAACAAATTTCTTTAGGAATGAACAAAGTATTCCTCCTCTATTATCTTTAGGTCATAATATATGGTAGTTAATTTATATATTATATAGTACTAAAAATTAAATGTAGCATTCAAAGATTGTGTAAGATAAATATTGTTTGATTTATGAACTTTTTTCATGTAATATAAATTTTCTATATATTAAATGTTCTTCATGTTAGAATTCGCGGACTTGTACATCAGTATGAGTTAATAAAAACTAACGCAACACTCGTCGATCGTTTGGTAACTGGTTAATTAGAATTATGTAGGTATTAGTTATTTCATTTTATATATTTTGCAACTCTTTCTTTTTCCTACCCCTACGAAGAGAAAAAGTTCCGCCTTGTCCTTACATAGAAGAAGAAGAGGAGAAGCAAGAATGGCAATAACCTCCGCTATTTCCGCTTCGGTCCGAGTAGGAATAAATTGACTAAGATACTCGGGTCAACAATCAAATCGGGTGTTGATTCTGTCCAAAATGTAGATTCGGAGCGTGACATATTTTGTAAGAAGACGGTCATAAGTTAATAAGTGTCTTATTGATACAAAACTAAATTCAATGATTTTATTTAATAATTTTACATACTTAAACAACCTTTTGAAATCTTTACTCGTCACAATTATAAGAATTTAGACGTTTTAAATTCATTGTAGGAGAGTAGACTTTGTAATTTACTCAATGTCTTGAAAAATTTCAAGTCTTCAATATTATTATACCTTCTCATTTTATACCTATGGAGATATGTACAATATTTGTAGAGATTTATCATCATATTTTCCATCTGATAGCATCTATTATCCATATTTATCATCTAAAAGTCAAAGTGGATTTGGTCAATCATATTTTTGAGACAATATACATATAGGAAGTTTGATACAAAACCCCATCAATGTTCATATATTATAGAAAATTTAAATTTCTTATTAAGGTCTAGTTTAACATCGGGTTTCTTTAGGTATGAAATCGTCTCTGTTAGAGAGTGCTTTACCTTCGAATGTGGGATTTCCCAATGCAAATTTAAATTTATTCAGACTCCAATGTGGATACCGAACACTACCTAGATAAAAATGAAGTGGAAATGTTTAGTTTTCTACACAAATTTATTTATTAAGAGCGACACAGTTTAAGTGATAATATCCGTTGTAGTAGATATTCTATCTATTTGACTATGCAACTATATCAAAGGAAAAATATCTTGTCTAATTAGTTTTACCTTATCAATGATATAAATAATAATACTCGTGTTATGACCCTAAAATAAAAATAAAAACAAATAATCCACGTTTGCCATGGGTATGGCATATTATTTAAAAAATGGATTGTTTGGTTGGAAACAAGTTATTCGGTATTATTAATTAGGAAAAGTCTCAAATATGCCATCTAATTTTCAGAAAAGACTCATTTATACCATCCGTTAAAAGTTTGGCTCATCTATGCCATTGTTGTTAAAGAAAAGGCTCATCCATGCCATTTTTTAACTCTGATTTTGCAAACCACTTTTTACACCCCAAACAAGGTTTAACACTTTTCAATTGAAGTTTTTGGATCAAATGTACTTTTTTTGCTTTTTCTTCCTTAAGAACACCAAGAACACATAAACAACATTAACAATTCCCAAATTTCAAACTTCTTTGATTCTTCACGAAATCACCTCAAATTTCAAGAGTAGTTTCCTTCCGAGCTAGATACCAAAACTCAATATTTTTTTATCGCGGATTCAACCTAACTCAACAAGATCCACTTGAAATTTCTTCAAAGTTTCAAAACTTCAACATTAATCTTTAATTGTAGATTTTTCTCCACAACTTCAAATCATTTGAAATTTTGAACATACACTCGAAAAACACTAGGTAACAAAGATCTAATGTCAAAAAACAACTTCAAAAACATGAACTAAAGCAAATTTTTGAAATTTTGGGACTGATTTTCATTTTTTTGAAATATTTTTTAATACGGATGAATTTTTTAAACTCTACAAATGATTTTAGAATTTTAGTTTACTAAAAAAATTAAAAATGTAGCCGAAATTTGAGATGATTTCGTGAAGAATTGAAGATATTGAAAATTTGGGATTTGTTTATGTTGTTCATGTGTTCTTAAAGAAGAACAAACCATTACAACAAATGTGATATATAGCTACAAAATTATTAGCTACGATATTCGGCATTAATTGTTCACTTTTAGTGACAAAAATTATATTTCGTGCCTAAATATATGAGACACATACTTTTAGTGACGAAACGTGGACATTCGTAACAAAGTTTTGTCCACTGAAGTTTCCCACCAAAAAATGGTTTGACACCATATATTGAGTACTATTAGTCACGAATTTATAGTTATCACTAACACATTATTTTTTCACTAATGATGTTCCCATTTAGTGATAAAACACTTTTTTTGGTCTTAACTTCAGTTAAATTTTGGATATGAAATTTTTTGTCACAAAAAATATATTGAGACGTTAGTGACAAATCATTTTTGTCCTAAAATTAGTTAAATTTTGAATATGAAATTTTTTTGTCGCAAAAAATATATTGATACATTAGTGAGGAATCATTTTTTATCCTAAAATTAGTTAAATTTTGGATACAAAAAATTTTTATCGCAAAAATTATATTGATACATTTGCGACAAATCATTTTTTGTCCTAAAATTAGTTAAATTTTGGATACAAAAAACTCATTCTCAAAAAAATATTTTTACATTAGAGACAAACTCTAATTTGTAGTTAATTATATTGTATACCTTAGCCACAAAAAATTGTATTCTATTGTGACATTTGTTTTTGTCACTAATAGTTCAAACAATTAGAGACAATTGTATTATTGTCTTTATTTAACCTACAATTTAGCCACAATGAAATTTTGTCACAAAAAATATATATTCAAATGGCTACAATCTAAATTTTATAGTTGAATAGTGTAATTATTGTCTACGAAAAAAAACCAATAGTTATAATTATAAGATCATTAATTTTAAGCATATTTTTAACGAAACAATTTTTTTTAGAGAAATGACTAATGAAGCAAGAGTTTAAAAGAAAAGGATGATATCAAATAAATAATTTCTTGCCCGCGCAAAGCAATTCCGGCTAACCAAGAATTTGTCAACTCGTGCATTCTAGCTAGAGAAAGCCTTATATATCGACGTCACTTGTGATCTCTGTAATATAATATAGTAGGGAGTGATTTGCTAGCTCAATCAATAATTACAATTAACCACAAATGTTTATATTAATAAAAAAATATAATGAAAAAATGCCCTTTTCAGAAATGGTAACAATAATCAATCTTGTTTTGTTTCATGTAAGCAGAACACAATTAACAATTCAATAATAAAATCGATAAATTTACTAAGAGTATGACTGAATTTTCAATGATCTCTGATCAACCCCCAGATTTACAACACTCCGTCAGATTCATTAATGTTTTAGTTTCACAATGAACAGAAGTCCTTTGCACTGTTAATAGATTATTATCTTTTTGATAAAGTTAATTAATTTTTCCCTATATCATAGTACTAAAATTCATAAAATGATACGGAAGTCAAGAACTGAAATACATATTACTAACTTTTAACACACTACAACATAAATAATGATTAGCAGCAATTAATTAATGTCAATAGCTTAATTGCCATTAAATATGTATTTTTAGCAGCAATTAGCATTCTTTGTGAATGTCCCTAAAACCTATAGCGACATTGGATCCAATGACATTTAACTAATGCCGATATTGACTTTAACACTCTTTGTTAATGTGTATATTTATTGCCGCTAAAAAATATTTTTATTGTAGTGACATGATATATTAAAATATCATAAGGACTAATCCATAGGAGTAAAGTGAACAAAAGTCATTTAGTTTTCTCAAGATAATATATAGTCACTCAAACTGATAGGCAAAGCCAAAAAGCTAAGCGACAATTAATAGTCACACACACTCAAGAACAAGTTAAGCTTAAGATAATAGAGGAGGAATACTTTGTTCATTCCTAAAGATATTTGTTGGATCAATTTTTGTCTTGATTTTCACCAATCTATCAAAGTTGTTCTTGAAATATTTCACTCCCCAAATTCTTGCTTGTTCATAGCTTGTGTTTCCATTAATATTGTTCACTCCTATATCAAGATCTCTATAGTTGAAATAAGCTGCTCTAGGAGATTTTGACACATACTTAGCCATGTATCTATAAAGTGTTCGACTCCAATCTAAGCTTCTCTTAGAATTTTCCATTTTCATCCAAAAAGCTGCATACTCGATCATGAAAAAAAAAAAAAAAAAACGAACAAAAAAAAAAAAAAAAAAAAAAAATTAAAAAAAAAAAAGAATATATTTCCAGCTCTATGAGGGAAAGGTGTTTCAGATTCTAATATCTCACTCAACTTTCCCCCATAGGGACTAAACTGTAATTCAACGCCAGCATTTTCGCCCAATTTGTTGTATAGTTTCCATATACCTTTAAGACCATTTATAGAAATTGGGTGTTGGACATAGTCTGATTTCCCTTTAAAATACAACTGTTTTTTAGTTGTGGTATTCCAATTTAGTAACACATCAGGTGATGTGCCCTTAGGGAAACCGATATAGAAGTAGATTATAGATTCAATCCAACTCATCTCAATGCAATCTTCTTTCATTAGTTCTAATTCTGGGAAGCTCTTTTTCATTTCGTGGAGCAGTTCATCTACTCCTCCGACAAACATTGTAAAGAATATGGCATTGATACTCTTTTGTCCACGCTTGAATGGAGATGAAATATTGCTCCTCAGGAAGAGCCTCAGGAGGAGATTGTCATCAACTTTGTCTGCAATATGCTGCCATTTGTAGACTAGTTGAGTTGCATTTTGTTCCAACGTTCGTGTCACGTTGAATACAGTTACCTTTTCTGGAATATCATGTAATTTCACTTTCCATGAGGTAATGATACCAAAACTAGTCCCTCCACCTCCTCTAATAGCCCAAAAGTGATCCTCACCCATTGATTTTCGATCCAGGATTTGTTCGTTAGCATCAATTAATTTTGCATCAATGATGCTATCAGCAGCAGTACCGAATTTCCGTGCCAACATACCATAGCCTCCACCACTAAAGTGTCCACCAACACCAACATTGGGGCAAACCCCAGCAGGAAAGGCCAATTTTTTACTTTTTTGGGCAATTCTATAGTAAAGTTCCCCTATGGTCGCGCCAGTTTGAACCCAAGCAGTCTTTTTTTGGGTATCAATGGATATTGATCTTAGGTTCCTAAGATCAATTATGAAAAAAGGGGTCTCCGAAGTGTATGAAAGTCCCTCATGGTCATGTCCACCAATTCGAATTCTAATTTGTAGGTCATGTATCTTGGAGCAATGTATAGCTGCCTTGATTTGAGATTCTTTGATAGGAGTGAAAATAATTGATGGTTTGTAGTTGGAGGTTATCCTTTGATTATCTGAAAAAAAAGAGTTAAAAAGGGTGGAATATGATGAGTTTTCAGGAGTGTGGATGACTTGTGATGAGTTTGAGTTTGTAATTTTTTGAGAAAGGCATTGAAGGAAGTCATCAATATGAGTTTTGTTGGCCCATGAATATGATGATGAAAACCAAATTGAGAGAAAAACAAAGATTGTTAACTTAGTCATAATTGTTGGACTAAATGGAAACTAACAACTTCGATTTATAGTTTTAACTTAGTCATAATTCACATGGAAGATGCAGGGGATTCCTCATGGCTAACGTGGATTATTTGTTTTTATTCTTATTTTTATTTTAGGGTCATAATTATTAATTATTTTTTTGTTTCCTACCCAGTTTTTGTGTCTGTAGTCACATTCTATTTGCTCTTGAAAATTACTTTGTGTCACTAAGTCCAAAGAAATTTTATCTTTGAATTTCTTATACTATTATCATACTCATTCTAAGTTGTATCACAAAATATGAAACGAATAATCCATGTTAAACATGAGGAAGCATGTGCATCTTTTAATTTGATTGTGACAACAAATTAAAGAAAATCTTTTAGAATTAATTAATATAAACTAAGCTTCTTTAATTTCTCCCTATAAATACAAGTTGTTAATTTTCATTTTCTTCATCATCAAAATTTTCAACAACAAATAAAATAATCAATTATGAGCAAGTACTTAACAGTCTTTCTCTTTCTCTCAATTTGCCTAATTTCATCATCATGGGCTAACAAAACTCATGATAACTTTGTTGAATGTCTTTCTCACAAAATTATCAACTCAACCTTATTATCACAAGTCATCCACACTCATAAGAACTCATCATATTCAACCATTTATAACTCTTTTTTTTTCACAAAACCCAAGGATAACCTCTGACTTCAAACCATCAATTATTTTCACACCTACGAATGCATCACAAATCCAGGCAGCTATACATTGCTCCAAGGTACATGACCTACAAATCAGAATTCGAAGCGGTGGACATGACTATGAGGGACTTTCATACATTTCTGAGAACCCCTTTGTCGTAATTGATCTTAGAAACCTAAGATCAATATCCATTGATACCGAGAAAAGGACTGCTTGGATTCAAGCTGGGGCGACCCTAGGGGAAGTTTATTATAGAATCGCTCAAAAAAGTAAAAAACTGGCCTTTATTGCTGGGGTTTGCCCTTGTGTTGGTGTTGGTGGACACTTAAGTGGTGGAGGCTATAGCATGATGTCACGAAAATTTGGTACTGCTGCTGATAACATCATTGATGCAAAATTAATCGATGCTAGCGGACAAATTCAGGATCGAGAATCAATGGGTGAGGATCACTTTTGGGCTATTAGAGGAGGGGGAGGGACTAGTTTTGGTCTCATTATCTCATGGAAAGTGAAATTACTTGATATTCCAGAAAAGATAACAGTATTCAAAGTCACACGAACGTTGGAACAAAATGCAACTCAACTAATTTACAAATGGCAACATATCGCGGACAAAGTTGATGACAATCTCCTCCTCAGGATCTTCTTGTGGAATACTGAATCTCAACTCAGCCATGGGAAAAAGACTATCCACGCCTTTTTCTTTACAATGTTCATTGGAGGAGTCGATGATCTTGTAACATCCGGCAATATGAAATAATTGAAGAGGCTTAGAATTGGAAATTTTCATTTTTGGAAATTTTGGCTAAGTATGGAAAATGTGAAATTTTGGCCAACTTTGAACAGCCATAAATTCTAGTTTGTTTCCTACATGCGCTAGGTGTGGTAGAACCCACCCGGGCAAATGTCGTGATGGCCAGACGGGATGTTTTAAGTGTGGGCAAGAGGGTCACTTCGTGAAGGAGTGCCCTAAGAATAATCAAGGTAGTGGAAGTTTGGGTAGTAGGACCCAATCTTCATCAGTTGCTCCCCCAGACAGGATGGCACCTAGAGGAGCTACTTCTAGTACCGGTGGAGGAGCAAATCGCCTTTACGCTATCACCAGTCGCCATGAGCAAGAGAACTCTCCGAATGTTGTCACTGGTATGATCAAAGTCTTTGTTTTTGATGTGTATGCTTTGCTAGACCCAGGAGCAAGTTTATCGTTTGTAACTCCTTATGTTGCAAATCAGTTTGAGGTTCTTCCTGAAAGAATTTGTGAACCCTTTTGTGTTTCTACACCTGTTGGGGAGTCTATTCTAGCGGAAAGAGTTTATCGTGATTGCCCTGTTTCTATCAATCACAAGAGCACCATGATTGATTTGTTTGAGTTAGACATGGTAGATTTTGATGTCATTCTAGGTATGGATTGGCTTCATGCTTGTTATGCATCGATAGATTGTAGAACTCGAGTAGTCAAGTTTCAGTTTTCGAATGAGCCAGTCATAGAGTGGAGTAGCAGTTCAGCAGTGCCTAAGGGTCGTTTTATTTCGTACCTTAAGGCAAGAAAGTTAGTTTCAAAGGGTTGTATCTATCACTTAGTCCGAGTTCATGACTCTAGTGTTGAGATACCTTATTTTCAGTCAGTTCCTATAGTAAGAGAGTTTCCAGAAGTTTTTCCTGATGATCTACCCGGAATTCCTCCCGAGAGAGAAATAGATTTCGGCATAGATCTCATTCCAGATACTCTTCCTATCTCTATTCCGCCTTATAGAATGGCACCAGCAGAGTTGAAAGAGTTGAAAGAGCAGTTGAAAGATCTCCTAGAAAAGGGTTTCATTCGACCGAGTGTCTCACCTTGGGGTGCTCCGGTTTTGTTTGTGAGAAAGAAAGATGGTTCCCTTAGGATGTGTATAGATTACCGCCAGTTGAATAAAGTTACCATCAAGAACAAGTACCCTCTTCCGAGGATTGATGATCTTTTTGATCAGCTTCAGGGTGCCACTTATTTTTCAAAGATTGACCTCCGATCAGGCTATCATCAGTTAAGGGTAAGGGAATGTGATATCCCAAAGACAGCTTTTAGAACCAGGTATGGTCATTATGAGTTTTTGATCATGTCCTTTGGTTTGACCAATGCGCCGGCAACTTTCATGGATTTGATGAATAGAGTCTTCAAACCTTATTTAGATATGTTTGTTATTGTCTTTATTGATGATATACTAGTTTATTCAAGGAATGAAGAAGATCATGCTAGTCATCTCAGAACAGTCCTTCAGACTTTGAAAGACAAGGAGTTGTATGCCAAGTTCTCTAAGTGTGAGTTTTGGCTTAAATCTGTGGCGTTCCTAGGCCACATTGTGTCCGGTGATGAAATTAAAGTTGATACTCGGAAAATTGAGGCAGTGCAGAATTGGCCAAGACCCACATCTCCAACTGAAATTAGGAGTTTCTTGGGATTAGCTGGCTATTATAGAAGGTTTGTTGAAGGGTTCTCGACTATTTCATCTCCTTTGACGAAGTTGACTCAGAAGGCAGTGAAATTTCAATGGTCTGAAGCTTGTGAGAAAAGCTTTCAGGAATTGAAAAAGAGATTGATTACTGCTCCAGTTTTGACGCTACCAGAAGGTACTCAAGGTTTTGTGGTGTATTGTGATGCATCTAGAGTTGGTTTGGGTTGTGTCTTAATGCAGAATGGCAAAGTTATAGCTTATGCCTCCAGACAGTTGAAGGTTCATGAGAGGAACTACCCAACCCATGACTTAGAGCTAGCTGCTGTAGTATTTGCTTTAAAGATATGGCGTCATTACTTGTATGGTGTGCATGTCGACATATTCACTGATCACAAGAGCCTTCAATATGTGCTTACTCAGAGAGAGCTTAATCTCAGACAGAGGAGGTGGTTAGAGTTACTCAAGGATTATGACCTGAGTATTCTTTACCACCCAGGTAAGGCTAATGTTGTTGCTGATTCTTTGAGCAGGTTGTCTATGGGTAGCACCGCCCATATTGAAGAAGGAAAGAGGGAGTTAGCAAAAGATGTGCACAGACTGGCATGCCTGGGAGTCAGGTTTACAGATTCCGCAGAAGGAGGAATAACGGTGACGAGCAGGGCCGAGTCATCATTAACGTCAGAAGTGAAAGAGAAGCAAGATCAAGATCCCATTTTGCTTGAGTTGAAGGCAAATGTTCAAAAGCAAAGAGTATTAGCTTTTGAACAAGGGGGAGATGGTGCATTGAGATATCAAGGTAGATTGTGTGTACCTATGGTAGATGGACTCAAAGAGAAGATTATGGAGGAAGCTCATAGCTCCAGATATTCCGTTCATCCAGGTTCCACCAAGATGTATCGCGATTTGCGAGAAGTTTATTGGTGGAATGGCATGAAGAAGGGCATTGCTGAGTTTGTTGCTAAGTGTCCAAATTGCCAACAAGTGAAAGTTGAACACCAAAGGCCCGGTGGTTTGGCTCAGAGGATAGAACTTCCAGAGTGGAAGTGGGAGATGATCAATATGGATTTCATCACAGGGTTGCCAAGATCTCGTAGACAACATGATTCTATTTGGGTAATTGTCGACCGAATGACAAAGTCAGCTCATTTTCTACCGGTAAAGACTACCAATACAGCAGAAGATTATGCCAAGTTGTATGTTCAAGAGATAGTGAGACTTCATGGAGTCCCAATCTCCATTATTTCAGATAGAGGTGCACAGTTTACTGCACAGTTCTGGAAATCCTTTCAGAAAGGCTTGGGTTCGAAAGTGAACTTAAGTACTGCCTTTCATCCTCAGACTGATGGGCAAGCAGAACACACTATTCAGACCTTAGAGGATATGTTGAGGGCTTGTGTGATCGATTTCAAAGGTAGTTGGGATGATCACCTACCTCTAATTGAATTTGCCTACAACAACAGTTATCACTCTAGCATCCAGATGGCTCCATATGAAGCTCTTTATGGGAGAAGATGTAGATCTCCTATTGGATGGTTTGAAGTTGGTGAAGCACAGTTGATAGGACCAGATTTAGTTCACCAAGCTATGGAGAAGGTGAAAGTGATTCAAGAGAGGTTGAAGACGACACAGAGTCGTCAGAAATCCTACACTGATGTTAGGAGAAGGGCATTAGAGTTTGAAGTAGACGATTGGGTATATTTGAAGGTTTCACCCATGAAAGGTGTTATGAGGTTCGGTAAGAAGGGGAAACTCAGTCCCCGGTATATTGGACCTTACCACATAGCCAAGAGGATTGGCAATGTTGCTTATGAGTTGGAGTTATCACAAGAGCTAGCAGCGGTTCATCCGGTATTTCACATCTCTATGTTGAAA